TATTAATGAATATAGATGCAGAAATTCTCAAGAAAATACTAGCAAGGGCCAGGCATGGTGGCACATGCCTATAATCTCAGTGACTTGGGAGGCAGAGACAGGATGATGGAAAGTTTGAGGACATCCTCAGCAACTTAGCGAGGCCCTGTTATATAATAAAAAAATAAAAAGAAAAGAAAATACTAGCAAGCTAAACCCAACAGCACATTAAAAAAGATTAGTCACCATGATTAAGTTAGATTCATCCCACTGATGTAAGGATGGTCCAACATACACAATAAATATGATACACCACATCAACAAAATGAGAGACATTTATCTTCTCAATAGATGTAGAAAGGCATTGATAAAATTCCACATCCCTTCCTGATAAAATGCTGAATAAATTAGGTATATCAGGAATGTACCTTAAAATAATAAACGGACTTTATAATTAGCCAATAGCTAATACTACTGAATGAAGAAAAGCTGAAAACTTTCTCATTAGAACAAGAGAAGGATGCCCCCTCTCACTACTTTTATTCAACATAATACTGGAAGTCCTAATCAGAGCAATCAAGCAAGAGGAAGAAAGAGTACCCAAACTGGAAAAGGGGAAGTCAAATTGTCATCATTCACAGGTGATATGATTCTTATATACAGAAAACCTTAAAGACACCACCAAAAGATTATTAGAAGTAATAAATTAATTTAGAAAAGTTGCAGGATACTAAATTCACATACAAAATAAGCAGCATTGCTATATGCCAATATTGAATTATCTGAAATAGAAATCAGGACAGCCAGTCCCATTTATAATAGATACAAAATCTAGGAGCAAATTTTATCAAAGAGGTTTTAAAAGAGGTCTAAAATGAAAAACATAAAGAAAGAAATTAAAGAGGGCAAAAAAAATAGAAAGACATTCCTTGCTTAAGGAATGGAAGAATCAATATTGTTAAAATATCCACACTACTAAAGTAATATACACATTTTATTTAATCCCATTCAAAATACCAATAACATTCTTCACAGAACTTCACAGAACAGGACAAAACCACCCTAAAACTTGTATGGAACCACAACAGGACCCTAAATATATATTCTCAAAAGAAGGCATACAAATCGCCAATAGGTAGATGAAATGATGCTCAACATCACTAATCATCACTGAAATACAGATGAGATATACCTCACTCCAGTAAGAACGGCTATTATCACAAAGTAAAAAATTAACAAGGATTGGCAAAGATGTGGAAAAAAGGCAATCCTCTCACACTGTTGTTGTGAATGTAAATTAGTACATCTGTTATAGAAAGCAGTATGAAGGTTCTTAAAAAATTAAAAATAGAACTACCATATGACCCAGCAATTCCACTACTAGGTATATATCCAAAGGAAATGAATTTGGTTATGTCAAAGAGACAACTGTGTTTATCACAATACTATTCACAATAGCAAAAAAGACAGAAATGGGCTAAGTTTCCATTAGTGGATGAAAGGATAAAGAAAATGTGATATATATGCACAATGGAATAATATTCAGCCATAAAAAAGAAAGAAACCCCATCACTGTGACAACATGGACAGATACCTAGGCCATTATGTTAAGTGAAGTAAGTCAAGCGGAAATAAGCCAATGAGGAAAAGCTGAAGACTTTCTCATTAGAACAAGACAAGGATGCCCCCTCTCACTACTTTTATTCAACATAATAGTGCACAGAAAGTCAAATGCTGCATGATCTCACTCATGTGCAATCTAAAAAAGTTGATCTCATAAAAGTTCAGAGTGAAATGGTAGTTACCAGAAGCTAGGGAGAAGGTGGAGAGAAGGATGAGGAAAGATTGATCAATGGGAACAAAAGTTACAATTAAAGACTAAGAAAGTTCAGGTGTACTAGTGCACAGTAGAGTAACTATAGATTAACAATTATGTACTATATATCTTAAAAGGCTAGGAGGGCTACAGTTGTAGCTTACTGGTAGAGCACTTGCCTTACATGCACAAAGCCCTCGGTTTGATCCCCAGAACTGCATACATAGATAATAGACAGATAGATGTAAATAAAACTACTCTGAGCACAATATTACAATAATAAATAAAATTAGGATTTTGAATATTTTCACCATAAGGAAATGATAAATGTTTGAAGAGATATATTAATCTGATATAAACATTATACAGTGTATACATGAATTAAAATATATGGCATCCCATCAATGTAATTTTTTGGGGGGTAACAGGGATTGAACTCAAGGGTATTTGACCACAGATCCACATCCCCAGCCCTATTTTGTATTTTGTTTAGAGACAGAGTCTCACTGAGCTGCTTAGCACCTCACTTTTGCTTAGGCTGCCTTTGAACTCACAATCCTCCTGCCTCAGCCTCCAGAGTTGCTGGGATTACAGGCATGTACCACCAAACCCAGCCATTTCTTTACTATTATCATTTTAATTTTTTTTAGTTATAGATGGACACAATACCTTTATTTTATTTATATGTGGTGCTGAGGATCGAACCCAGTGCCTTACACATGCTGGGCAAGCACTCTACCACTAAGCTACAACCCCAGCCCCCCAGTCACTTTTATATCATCAAAAGATGTGGGAAAAATACTTGGAGAGATTTAAAGTATACAAAATAACTAGGGCTAGACTTCATGTTCTTCCTGTTTCCTCCAATATCAGTCTAGTGAAAACACAAAAGCATCATACTAAGTGGTAGTTTACAAAATTGTTTTTTATATACATTTTATGAGAATATGACTGTTGATCAAATTATGTCTATAAAAAGCTTATAATATGGATGTCAGTCATGACCATCATCACATTTTTCTTCCATAAAGTTTAAAAAAAAAAACAGATGTGGAAGCTAACCTACAATAAGAGGGAGGGATTAAAAAAAGAATAGAAGTTTAGTGGAGTAGATGAAGGGGAATGAAGGGAAGGGGGAAAGGATGGGAAAAGGAAAGACAGTTGAATGAATCTGATATAACTTTCCTATGTACATATGTGAATATACCAAAGTGAATCTCACCATCATGTAATAATTTTTAAAAACTATGAATAAATGGCAGGAAGATCAGTAGAGAGAAGGGAACAGGGGTTTGGTGGAAGGATGGGAAAGGAGAGGCACTGGGAACTAGATTAGAACAATATATATTTCATGCTTTTATAATTATGTCAAAATGGATTCTACTGTAATGTATAACTAAAAAGAACCCCAAAAAAGTGTACCCATGTCATATATGAAAATAACCTACATGTAATGCCACTCAAGTCTCTCCCTATTTTAATTTTTTAATTGTTTTTTTTTTAGTTGTTGATGGGACTTTATTTATTTGTATATGGTGCTGAGAATCGAACCCAGTACCTCATGCATGCTAGGCAAGCACTCTACAACTGAGCCACAACCCCAGCCCCAAGTCTCTCCCTATTCTTATGATCAATTCTTAGAGAACATTTATTATGATTCCTAATGCAACCTCATTCTGGGCATAAACTTTATTTTTAACTCCAGTCTTAAATCTCCAGAAGCCATCATATCACCAGCATTTTTTTTAACCTTTCCACTGTTACCTCCTTAGCATCCCACTGTTTTCATAAGTTGATGCCACTTTGTGAGTGTCCTATTCCCCAATGCTGTTAAATCCTGGAATAGAGCTTAGTTATTATGCATTTTATATAAGGGTGATCATTTACATGAAATCTGTGGTAAAACCTATGGTGAACTAGGTAACTTCTTCTGTATATTTCAAAGAATCAAATTTATTTAAAAAATGTGATTTAGAATTAAAATTCCAGGAATGTTCCAATTATTTAAAACAGTCTAAATTGAGACAAGTGTACATTTTATAATTGCATAAGATCACTCTGTCAGGCAATGTTCTTTATACGAAGTTTGAGCCATCTTTGAACTTTAAAAAGTTTTTTACATAAACAAGTTATTTGCACAAATACTTTGATAGAGATATATAGGCTGTAAGTACTATAATCTCAATGATGAAACATGTATTTATCTCCTTAGATGACAAATGTAATTTTCACAATCATTAAAACTATAGTTAAAATAATCATGGGAGTATCTTCAAATAACTAGAATTAACCCTTTACTCAGAAAGAGTTAATAGTGGTGAACTGATTGGATATTTTTTACCCCACAAGTGTCTGATATTCAAAGTGATAATGCCAGAAAAACACACTTTTCATATAAATTCATTTAACTAACAATTATCAAATAACTATTTTATGTTGGAATCTGTGCTGGACCTACATTTTCAAGTGAAAGATAGGATTCTTAGATGTAATTACTGTATTGTTATATTATTCTCTTGATACTTTTATATTATTCTCTTGATACTTGATGCAGCATGGCAGTACAAATCTTAGTATAGTATTCAGGATACAATAAGCACTAAATATATATTTATTTGACAAATATCAAAATACCAAAATTCACAAGACTTGTAATTTTAGCTGATTCTACTCTTGCCCACCCCTTTCCCCACCTTCTACTTAGGAGTGGTCAGAAATCAGTAAGTACCAAAGCACCAGGCACGGGGTGCACAACTGTAATTCTAGAAGCTTGGGCAGCTGAAACAGGGGGATCACAAGTTCAAAGCCAGCCTCAACAACTTAGCAAGGCCCTAATAAAATACAGAAGAATGGCTCAGTGGTTAAATGTCCCTGGGTTCAATCCCTGATGCAAAAAAAAAAAAAGTACCAAAGCAAAATCAACAAATTCAACACAAATTTTCATACTCCTGATGAAGAGACAAAGGAGAAATAGAGGGGAATTAATGCTCTTACAATATATTAAGAAGGGAATTCATCTTTATTTTTATATCAACTGGCAACATGTAAGAATAAAAAAAAATAATACATGTTAAAGGAGTAAATAAATTAAAATGTTGGCTTTCAAAGTCAGAAAAGGTTTAAACTGCCAAAATATGCTAGATTAAATATTAGCAGACCTGTATTATAATTTCCTAAATTTACATTCTTTTTTTGTTTACATTACCTAAGCCAGAAAGAACTTTCTTGATATTTATTATGCTTGTGGGTTTCTACTCCGAAGTTGTAACAGAGAACATGAAGATATCCTGTCTGTAGTAAAAAAAAAAAAATAATAATAATAACATGTCAGATTCATGATTTCCTTAAAGTTAAAAATAAGTATCAACAGCTGCTCAATGTCTTTAAAATACGTCCACAATGCATTCTGTACATCAAAATAAACTTCCTTATCAAAACCTGTCAATTTATATAAAGAAAACTACAAAACATTCAAGTTAAAAATTACAATAGATTAGTAGTAGAATGTGAAACATACTTTGTAACTTCAATGGAGAAATCCAATCACTGCACAGCAAAACAACAGGCTAAAACATTGATTTGGGTTGCCAGATCTAGGAAAAGGCGTTAAGTAGGAAGTAGACTCAAAGACAAAAGTTAGGACTGGGGATGTGGCTCAAGCGGTAGCGCGCTCGCCTGGCATGCGTGTGGCCCAGGTTCGATACTCAGCACCACATACTAACAAAGATGTTGTGTCCGCTGAAAACTAAAAAAATAAATATTAAAATTCTCTCTCTCTCTTAAAAAAAAGACAAAAATTACTATTGAGGAGGGAAAAGGAATGATTCTTTTTTTCAAAATTAAGACAACTTTTTAAAATTCTAAATTCTAAAATATGTTCAAAGAACTATCCAGTCATAAGGTTTATTTAGAAATAACTGGTTTAATGGACTTTCTTGAACAACAACAAAAATTTCCTTTTTATAAATTACCATGAAGATAAAAGTAGAAACAAATATGTGAATAGTGAATACCACAGGAAAGTACTCTTTTGTAGGCTAATCAGCATCTCAGTCCCTCCATTAATGCCACATTTTACAGAAATTTCACCCTTCAACATACTAGAAATGGAAGAAGAAAAATTGTTTAATTCTAATAAATTATCAAAATACCCCCTCACCTATCCAGAATTAAAGAAATCACATATACAGAATTTGATTATACTCATATAAAGGAGTCCTTTATAAGATTTACCTGAGGAGCTGGGGTTGTAGCTCAGCAGTAGAGCACTTGCCTACCATGTGTGAGGCCCTGGGTTCGATCCTCAGTGCCACATAAAATAAAATAAAGATATTGTGGCCATCTACAACTAAAAAATAAAATAAAGCGTTTAAAAAAAAAAAGATTTACCTGAGCAAGACTACAGAAGCTGATCCTCAATTGAGAATCTGAAGCAAGTTATTTATAGGTAATGTATAAAGACCGATCTTTCTTCAAAAAAAAAAAAAACCCTTTCCCTTCAACTTACAGTACATTCAAAAAGTAGAAATTCAATATGCATGCCTGAGCACATCAGACCTAATATATATATATATATATATATATATATATATATATATATATATATGAATTTAAAATAAAGAATACTCTTGTTAATGTGTGCCTCGTATGAATCCATTGGTATTTAAATGCATTCTTTTTTTTTCTGGATTCTAGATATTAATTTTAATTACTTTGAAACAACAAAATTTAATAACAAATGTTTAACAAGCACCCATTATAACTGCAAAACTATGAAATTAGCATTATTTGTATCTGATCAGCTATACAAAAAACTCACTAATTTTTCTTTCGAAAAAAGCTAGTAGAAATCCCAAACAACAGGGGAGAAGCGACTTTGCTAAACTAGCACCATAATTCCAGTCAGCTGGAAGGAAGGGCGGGGGAAGAGGCAAGGCTGTTGGACACATAAAGGGTAGTTCTTAACTTATGGCCCCACTTTTGCTCTGAGGCAACACTGGATCTATCAAAGAAGAAAATTGCTGTGGCTGGAGATGAAAACAAAAGCTTTGGGATCAGATGTTACAGGAGGCCCCTCAGGGGCGGCAGAATCAGAGTATCCAGAACGTAGGGCTGGAGTGGGCATCAGGAACTAGGGGGTTTCTTCTTGGCTTCCAAATCCTTTTTAATCTCTTCAAGTTTTTAGCCAAGTTTGGTATGTCATAGTTCTGAGCCAGATACATTCCAACCACGTTGCCAAAAGTAAATCCAAGCAGGAACTGGAGCATGCTGTCGGCCGAGAACACAAGGAGGGACAGAAACCCGGTATTGTGTCCAACTACAACTAAAAATAAATATTAAAAAAACAATTTAACTTATTATGTGCCCCAGTTCGCATAGGTTCAAACAGGGCCGGCCAACTATGTAGCTATGCTGGAATAATGCAGCTCACACCCACTTGCAGAGGCCTACAACTAAATTTACACAGAGAAAATGGAAAATAAAATTTTTGATGAACATTTATGTGTACTGAGCCTTTATTCAACTTCCTCAGTATTTGTCTCTACTCTCACAATACCTTCAAGTGTACTCATATTAAATGCTACTTCCTAGGGGAGAAAAGAATACAAAATAATAATAAACTTATAACAATAAAACTATAAAAGACTAAAAGTGTTATGGTTTAGAATATGAGGTGTTTCCTGAAAGCTCATGTGTGAGACAATGTAAGAAAGAGGTAAATGTTTGGGTTATGATATCCTTAACCTAATCAGTGACCTAATCCTTCCTCTGATAGGAATTAACTAGATGATAACTGTAGGCAGGTAGGGTGTGGAGGTAGATCATTGCGGAAATGCCTTTGGGGTATATATTCTGTCAGTGGTGAGGGTAGTCTCCCTCTCTGCCCTGTTCCTCGCTGCTTTCCTCCGCCACAGTCTTCTGCCATGGTTTGTGCCCAGAGCAATGGAGTTGGCCATCTATCTACTGAAACTATGAGCCTCCAAATAAACTTTTCCTCCTCTAATTGTTCTTGTCAGGTCTTTGGTGGCAGTGGCAAAAAAGCTAACTTAAAAAAAAATCTCTCAAAAGACATGTACCAATGTGTGTGTGTGGTGCCGGGGATTGAAACCAGGGCCTTGTGGATGCGAGGCAAGCATTCTACCAACTGAGCTATATCCCCAGCCCAGTACTAATTTTTTTAATACAATGACTAAAAAAATGCTTTTACTACTAATACTGCTCCATTCATTTATTCCTTCAGTAACAACTATTCACCAAGCATCTCCTATCTAGTAAGTATTAATCTAGGAATTATAGTTAGATCATGGAACAAAAAGGATAAAAATCTCTGTCCTTCTGAAACATTTTTAATGGGATATTGAAGTAAAAAGGTTAATAAAAACATTTGTTTAAAGAAATATGTTGTTGGGGCTGGGGATGTGGCTCAAGCTGTAGCGCGCTCGCCTGGCATGCGTGCGGCTCAGGTTCGATCCTCAGCACCACATACAAACAAAGATGTTGCGTCCTCCGAAAACTAAAAAATAAATATTAAAATTCTCTCTCTCTCTCTCTCTCTCTCTCTCTCTCTCTCTCTCTCTCTCTCTCTCAAAAAGAAAGAAAGAAAGAAAGAAATATGTTGTCCATGCAGTAGGCCTTGGGTTCAATTCCCAGCACTGCAAAAATAAAGTAGAAGGAAGGATGGAAAGTCAGTCTAGCCTTCCATGGAATGCTAACATCTTACTTTGCCAGAAAATACAACAAAAGCATCACTAAGAAAGCAGATCTGTAAATCTAGCATACTACTAGTCTTATACAAAGGGACGTATGAGAACTCCAGGATACATGATATATCCAGAAACTTGAGTCATTGCTACATCAACTGGCCTGGAAATGACAGCTTCAACTTATGACAGCTCCATTTTACTTTAAAATGCCAAGATGAGACTATATAGAGGAAAATGAACTAAATCTGTTATTGCTGATACAAATGAGTTTGATAACCAAAATTTCAGTTCAATACAAGGTTTTTTATTTTTAATTAACTAAATAGCTTCATTTTCTGAAACTTATTTTGTAAATTAGGTTTTTAAAATCCAGAAAAAGCAAACCTATTATTTTTCAGCCCCAAGTTTCCAGGCTATTTTCCCTTCTGATTTTGTTGTCTTTTAAACATTTATAGATAATGTATTTTTATATTTTATTCAATTATAACAGTGTAGAAATAATTAAGTGATAATTGCCTAGCTTTAAAACGTTTGCTTTTCAGCCCCTCCCTTACTCATTTGTCTCTAATCTTCAGATATCTCAGTAATAATCCACATAGCTCCTTAGTTATTTCTCATGGTGCTCTAAAATACAAACATACATATCCAATTTCCAAATATTTTTCTCTCTGCCTCTGATTAATAATAGAGCATTACCTTCTGCCTAAATACCAACACCTTACAATAAAATGATTCCTAATCTAGTTTTGGGATACAGGAAGGATGTCTCAGGAAAAAAAAGAGTTGGTTTATTTAATTCATTAATTCATTTTAAGTGAATAACACTCTATTAGCTTCTCTTCAACCTTTACTGGATTGTTTCCTCTCATTATAAGATTTCCTGCTCTAAATTGTCAGGTCCCTTGTCTAACCCTTAAACCCATCGAAAACATACACTCTAAATAATTGCATTGACCTTTAGAATTAAAAGCATGACTTTCATAATAGTATAGTTCTATCAACCACCTTCCAGATAAAATACAAACTCTTAATTCTCAATGTATAACCCTTCATTGGTAGTCCCATCCTGACAAAGGCATAATTCTGTTATACATCATCCTGAATCCTCTAATTCAGCCCTTTTTTCTCTCTACATCTGGTTTTCCCTTTACTACCTCTAACACTGCCCAAAGATAGTTTTCTTTACCTTAATATTATTCAAGTGTCACTTTTCATGTTGTTTGATATACAATTCAATATTCATGTACTTTACAAAGATATTAAAGAGAGATCTCAATCCTCTAGTAATTTTATACTCTGAAAGAGATAGCTGGGCGTGGTGATGCACACCTATAATTCCAGTGGCAGGGGAGGCTGAGGCAGGAGGATAGTGAGTTCAAAGCCAGCCTCAGAAAATGCAAGTTGCTAAGCTACTCAGTGAGACCCTGTCTCTAAATAAAATACAAAATAGGGCCGAGGATGTAGCTCAGGGGTCGAGTGCCCCTGAGTTCAATCCCCAGTACCAAAAAATGAGAGAGAGAGAGAGAGAGAGAGAGAGAGAGAGAGAGAGAGAGAAACAGGGCCAATGAAAAAGGGACAGTAAAAACA